CCTGTAAGGCAAATAACAGCCTTCCTCCAGGAAAACTGCAGAATCAGGCTGTACTTTATAGAAGTGGGTCCACCAGCACGTGTTGTTCAGCACAAGCCACCTTTGTATGTGTTTTCTTATGCACAATAAAGGCTGAAAATGCAACCCTCCCCTCCATTCCCTGGAAGCACCACCACTAGTACCTAAGGGACGAGTTCAGGTCTGCTAGATGTTGGCAAAGTGGAGGGACCCCTGGGCTCCACTGGAAAGTCTCCCTCTGAAAGAGAACGATCTCCCTAAATGAGATCAGAATTTGGACTTGACTTCTTCATTTAATAAAAGGCCAAGAGCTGGATACTCCTGCTTCTCGCACCCATCTAAATGACCGTGCATCCCTAGAAATGAAATCCTGCCTAGCGTCGGTCAAAATATCAGAATCAGACTTTCTGTGGTTATTGCTGTTTCACTAGCTTGCCGAGTTTCCCTGTAACTTAATGAAGTATCCTCTCCATCATCCACCAAACTGCTGCTTAACACATTCTGGCAACGTGCCTCTCATATTGCAGCAGCCACGGCTGGCAATGCACGGAGCTTATCACGGGGTATTAATGACTTGAGCATAAATAACATTCCCTCTTATCTCAGCTTCATGATCCGCTATTTCTGATGGAAAAATATTCATAATAACGAGAGAAAACAATGAGGAGGTAAATTCAAACCTTAAAAAAAAGACTGACCGGTCTTGAAATGAGTGAAAGTTAAAGCCAGGCAAATTAAAATGAAAAGTAAAGGGACATTTCTAACAGTCACATTGATTAACCCCTGGAACCGACTACCTGGGAAAGAGCTGGATCTTTCATCTCTAGATATTTTCAGATCAGGCTAAGAAACATACTTCGGTCCAAACGACGAGTCTTGATACATGTAAGTGTGGAAACTCGTGCAAGAGCAAGAAGGATACAAGGCACCCAGGTCAGCTTGGCCATATGTGAGCACTAGCAGCATCGCAGGGGAGCAGAACAGTTAAAAAGCCAGGCCTAGGAAAGCCACTGATAGAATAACATGACTTGGCTGGCAGGGCTCCCTCCCACTCCCCAAACCCTCAAACAAAATCAAGCAGGATGACAAAGCCCTTACTGTAAGCAATTCTCCTTTCCTGCCTCCATTCACAGCTCATTAACTCTCCCGCATTAGGAAGGCGTTTCCCAACTATCCTGTCACAAGGAGAAAAATAAAAAACGAGAAACGCAGCTTTTGTTTGCTCAAAAACTCTCATTAATGACTGCAGGACAGAAACACACACCTGAAATTAAATTACTTTCATGACTCTGCGGCGCTGAGGGTTCCGCGATGGGTTTGTGTTGTGCAATGCCGGGTTTAGCTGCGCGGGGCTGGAAAATCATCGGAACACGTCGGTTTGCCTGCCGGCAAGACACTGTGTACGTTTATGTCTGTGTGAAGGCACCTGGACGCACGATGAATAATACAGTCCTTGGGTGGGATTGTAAAAACCGCGGGATTCGGGCACGCAGGTTTGTGCGGGGGGGTGTTGGTGAGTACCGGCGTACGCGTGGCGTACAGGCACCACAGCTGCTGAGAGCTCTCCCCCAGAAGAGCCAGCTACTCCATGGATGCACACACTTACACAAGCGTACGCTGTTGTGGATGGAGACTCTTGTGAATTTTGCTTATCGGTGATACGTTTATAGGGCAGCTGTAGTTATTCAGTGTTTTCAATCTGTATTTTTAGCTTGTTTACTGGGTCCCTTTTATAAATGGGAACGGTTATTTGCGCATGAATAGTGTGTTTACAGGTTATAAATGTTTCTCGTGGAGTATTAGTTAATATTTTTGCAAGGACAGAGGCTGATGAGTGTACAGTATGTACTGGATATTTATGTGGGTGGACACGTCTATGTGAGCTACCTCAACTCACATAAGAGATGCGGACTTGTATTTACATGGTCATTACAGCAAAGAGGGGGTCTGTTATGCTTTTGTTCCCATGGGTTATTGTCCTGCACGCGCTTGCGGAACAGCAGGGAAACGGATACAATTTTCAGAGATGACAGTTCAGGAAGAGGTTCTCGCCCTTCCTTTCAGAGAAGTTCAATACGCTCACGAAATTAAATCTCTCTTTGGGATACATTTCAGGGAAAGGAGAAGAGGACAGCCCTGGGGCCTGCCTGAAATGCTTTGGAAAGGGCTCGACTTGATTGCATTACCACACCCCACATAACTGATTGCCATGCTACGCAACTTGAAAATATGGTTCCCCACCTTTTTTATATCCAATGCGAGGTGGATTCAGCTCTGGGGGATGTCCTCCTCCAGATTTGCTCAGACTGTTAAAAAACACAGGAGGATGTTTCTCCTCTTCTACAGAAGTCAGGGAAGTTCTTTTGCTACTGCTCACCCCGGCGCTGTTTGAAGCATCGATTCGACAAGGTACTTAGGCATATTTTCATATATCAAACACAGAAATAGTCTGTGAAGCCAAGAGAGTACACAGCTGCCTAAGAGCTTTGCTCAAGAGGGGAGGAATACAATTCTTGTCTTCCTTCCCATGCGTTGTACCAGATTTGCACGCCGCTCCGCTCCGCACCATTCAGCAATTATTCGTCTAGCAGTACCTGATGCACAACAACACAAAATCCTAACATGCAGGATATATGATTTCTTAGACCTGACAGTATCAGGAAAGAGCAATTTGGTGTGGTGATACCTCGGGGGCAACGAGCAGATGAAATAACTTTTTGGGTATCTGCAGATGGCTAGCTGCTCTCTGGAGGGTAACGACCATGAAGGAGAAGAAAGGTGCAGAGGCAATCTAGTGCCATTTTCCAAGCTCTCTATCTCCGGTATCACGTATGGGACCCAGCAAGCCCTCTCTCATGTTGAATTGAGCTGGACAAGTCAGCTTGTTGGGCAGAGCTTCTACAACATCTCTCTGAGGGGACGAAATTGCCTCTGACTCACACAGATCAGATGCAGTTTTACTTTCCGTTACTATCCCCTACATTAGGAGTTCACTTCAGCTACAGAATAAGAAAATTGTGAAAATCAGTTTTGACACATAATTATTTTGCAGAGGTAGGGTGAGAAGTGAGGGCCTCAGAAAAAGAACAAACCCTTCTAAGAAACCTCTCCCATTTTTCTCCCTGGTTTATCCCCTGTTCCTTTGAGGCTTAGTATGGAAAAAGAAGAAGCTGAGCAGAAGAACTAAACTGAGACCTTTTTGAAAAATACGACTCTCTCCAAGTCTGCAAGATGCTTTCTAGAACCGACAAGCATTTCAAGTGAAGTTACTTCACTTCAAAACGTGTCATATAATAATGGTAATTCCTATATCCAGGAGGCCAACCTGGCTGCTGGCTCTTCACATGGTATCAAGTACAACAGAGTCATGTCATGTTCATTTTTCCACTCCCCTCAGAAAGAAATACAAATTTGTCTTTTATCTACATTATAACATTAGATCTCTAATTAAATGCTATCTCTGACCCCTATAGATAGTGGTCTCCTCTCCGTTTACATGTCAATAAGTCCATCGCTTTCTATTTCCAGTTTATCTTTTCTTTGTATTAATACCAAGAAAACCATATTTAAGGTCCCTGTTGTGCAGCTCAGTCCATCCCTACTACAATGCGTATTTATCTCATAGATATAGACACAGCCCTTCCTATATGGAAAATAATGCTCGCATATTATAGCCTTCATTCCATTTTGATAAAGAAGTAGTTCTGCAGGTATCATTATTTTCCCACCTAATTCTGGGGGGTAAGGGAAGAGGTTTTCCCCAACAAGGCCATTTTTTTTTCTGTGTTCAAATCTGTGGACATTTTTCATCTCACAGACTAGTTTTCCTCACCCCTTTCCCGGACGTGACAGTCCTCCTGGGGAAGGATGCTTCTATGCTTACCTCTTTGTAAAGTCCAAAATTGTTAACTCCATTTGGTGCTTCACAGGAATAGAAATCCTAATCTAGCCGCGGGACAAAGCATGCCCAAACCGCTTGCAGTTCCTGGCAGTTGGCATTAGACCTCCAGAGATGTTATCGCTTGCCACTGACAGAAGTGGGGAACTGAGCCTGGTTTTGGCCACCAACTAATGTGCTTGCGCGAGCCTGACCAGATGCCTTCAGTTGGGTCGGTGCGTGCTCCCATTACCTATAGGGACATGAGCATCCAAACCTTTATTTTAAACATCTACTTTACAGAAAAGCAGAGAATTTTGCAAACCGTAACTTACCCAGTCTACCTCCTCCAGGGTCTCTGCCTGAATTTTAGACTCCCAGATGTCTACCTACTTTGTTTAAAATCATCAACTGGAACTGAAACTGGGACATCCAGGCCAGCAAAAAACCTTCACTGGGGCAAGATCTAAACTTTCTCTGACCATGGACGCCTATGAAACATGTCAGAGATTCCGTGAAAAGACAGCACTTCAGTTTAAGAAGACAGTCAAAAATATTGGATAAACACACTAAAGGTTTGCAGGGAAGGTTGTCCTGCTAATGTCTGGCATTTTGTGGGAAATAAATCACAGCGACTGTGATCCTGGAGGAAAACGCTCAAATCTATTCGTAAAATTCATGAAGGCAAAACACTTCACTACATACCAGAGAGTTTTTTTTCCTCTTCTTTTAATTTAGCAGTAGCAATGTCTACAATATATTGACTCACAAATTAAGTGAAGGTATGAAACCACATTCTTCATACTGAGATGGGACATTCTGGACTTTTACTTTTCAAATACCCTCTCAAGGGGGAAGAGTTCTGAGCGTCCAATGAACATCTTTTGAAACAACCAGTGGTGGGAATTTCAGTTTTAACAGTGATCATATTTAGTGAGCCTTGTCCATAGAGATCAAAATGCTCTGCAAACGGGTGCAAAGCTCAGAACCTCACTGTACAGGTACAAGGGGAGGGAAACTGAGGCACGGTGCTGCACAGTGACTCGCCAGGATCAAGCAGCAGGCAGCAGAGATCTGGACATAAATCTCAGCTCTCTGACTCCCAGTCAATCCCTGACTCGCCAGGACACAGTCTCCCAGTAAGCGTGTGTGGGTATCTACCGTCCAGCAGTTCATGTGTTATACAGGCATATCTTCTTTCACCTCTCCTGCTGTCCCATTGGCGCCATTCAATCCTGCTGGCTCCCTGCCTTCTTCTTCCTCTTCTTCTTCTTCTTCTTCCCCTTTTGCTGTCTCTGCTTCTCTGCCTCCGCTCAGGAGGGTGGCACTGGAGAGGTGGCTGAGGAGCTGGCCCTCCCGGCGAGACTCGGCCAGCTCTTTGGCACAGCACACAGGAGTGTTGGTCTCGTAAGTGCTATGGAAGCTGTTATAGTCGACTTCGTAAAAATCCTTCTCCAGGGTGAGGACAGGAGTGAAGCGATGTCCCCACAGCACCTCGGTGTCCATGTAGGAGCTGCGAGCCTGGCAAGTCATCCCTGGGTAGAAAGAGAGGGATGTTAAATGCAAAGCTTCCTTACATGCTCACCCAACCACTTCTTTCATTTAAAAGCACTTTCATGTTATCTCCATACCTGGTCGCTCTGGTGGGACACAGAAAAGGTCTTCGCTTAACAAGCCTCACAAAAGCCTCTATCATGAAAAAGCTGAGCACTCAAAGGAAAAGGGATGGATTCATCGCCGCATCTTCAGACCGTTTCCTGAACCTTGTGCTTATGGGTTTGAAGTCTGGTACCACTAAGCAGCTTCTCTGTCCTCACATTGCTCTGTTGAGGTGTTGCTTGCGTGGGTGATACTAACAGCACTTCTGGTGAATTGTGCTAGAACGACATCCAACCCTGCCAATGTGCCTCAAATGCTGACCCAGACAGCTCCTAAGCAGAACGAACCACTGCCCTGCGCTCCCACTGTGTCTGACCCCATACCTCTTCATCTGCAGCAGCATCAGCAATTCCCTCCTGCGCTTAGGTTAAGACATCAAGTCGTGTATAGAAACATGTACTGGTTTGGGTGGGAAGGGACCCCTAGAGGTCACCCAGCCCAACCCCCCTGCAGGAGCAGGGACACCTTGAACCACATCAGGTTGCTCACAGCCCCGGCCAACCTGGCCTGGAATGTTCCCAGGGATGGGGCCTCCACCCCCTCTCTGGGCAACCCCTGCCAGGGTTTCACCACCCTCACTGGAAAGAATTTCTTCCTTAGATCCAGTCTAAACCTACCCTGCTTCAGTTTAAAGCCATCCCCCCTTGTCCTGTCCCAGCTGGCCCTACTAAAAAGCTTGTCCCCCCCTTTCCTCTGGGCCCCCTTGAAGCCCTGACCGGCCGCACTCAGCTCTGCCCGCAGCCTTCTCTTCTCCAGGCTGAACACCCCCAACTCTCCCAGCCTGGCCTCAGAGCAGAGGGGCTCCAGCCCAAAAGGTGGAGAGGGCCCCACCTCCCAGGGTTCATAGGGCACGCTGGCTTTTAAAACCCTCTGGGGGGCTCAATCGGACTGTATTGGGTTGGCAGAACCAAACCCTGCAACACCACACAGTCAAGCTCACAAGCGTATTGAATTCCACATATTAATGGATTTGGGATTGAATGAACAGTGGGCAGTATGAAACTAATTTTTGTCAAGCTGCTTCTCAGCCCCGAGGATCAGAGTTTATTTATTTACTTTCAAAAAGTTTAAGGAGCTTTTCAGGGCAGGGAGAAGTGCTCAGCGTTGGCATAACTGCGAACAAATACTCTTGGAATTACCTGCCAATGTCAAGGCCGACTTCCAAATATTTGTCTTCTGTTGTCCTAAGTACGTTATGATTTTGGAATTAATTCTGGTGAGATTTGGAAAACCTGAGCTTACAAAGTCTCCGCACTGTTCTCTTTTGGAGGGTGAGGGAGAGGTCTGACTGGAAGACATTCAAAACATGCACTCGATCCAGTTCCTGGCCAATACTTCCAAGTCTAACTAACTCCTGCAGCCCAAAATACACAAATAGAAATCTAAAGCAATGCATGGGGAGGGGGAAATATCAGCGTCGGGTGATTCAGTGAAGAGCATATCATGTATTCTCACCACATGAGCTCAGCTAAGTGACTGAAGTCTCAGAGAAATCACAAAACTCCTTTCTCTAAAAAAACCCCCAAACCGTTGTGAAAAGACAAATATTTTGTTCTCATAATTGCTACAGCCCATTAAACGACTCCCACACAAGCAAGTTCCCCAGACAGCTGTACTTGTCTCTTATTGCTTTCCTTAGCGTAACGCTATCAGGCCAGGGGTTGCTTTTGGTTCTTGAAAGGGGGAAAAAGAAGGACAATGACACATGCAACACTTTGAGAAATTTCCAGCTCTGTTTCTCCGACTGAAAAGCCAATTTTTTCCCCCCCAAGAAGATCTGCAGGAGTATTTGCTTCCGGGCAGGAACAACAAGTACCCAGTTAGTCATAGTGTTCTAGCGTGCCGGCTTCCTGGACTGGAAGGAACCAGGAAAAGCAGAGGCTGCTATGAAAATTATCCCAAGTGTTTTGGCTGTAAGGAATGGCTCTGCTGAGGTACAGCGTCTTTTCAGGAAACTATCAGCTTTTGCTTTATGAGTAAAAACCAGCGTGGAGCCCACTCCTGGCTGTATGCTTCAGGTGACACCAGGATGTGCAGCATCACCTGCCCTGGGCTCCTCAGTCCTCAAGGTGAAGACTGGTTAATCTTCACTCCCTTGTATCCGCCAGCAAAGAGCAGCTCAACACGCGGGCTCAACACGGAGCCTTGCTAATTTCTGTGTCCTGCTACGGTTTTTCTCAGGGGAGCTGTGTCACTGGCACTTCATCATAGCACTGACCTCCCTGGGCAAGGGCTTTGACTACAGGCTGGTTTGAGGGTCAGTAATGCAAGGCTAATCCCATTTTTGATGGGAGGCCAGAACGTTGGGCAACCAGCCGCATGTGTGGGTATGGTAAGGAGACAGTTAAACTAAACCAGCCCTTTTGCCTTGAGACCGAGCTGGGTTTGCAACAGAAATCACAAAGGCCTTCAAGTGCCTCCTCCAAGCTCTGAGCACTTTCAAAGCCCAGCAAAGCAAGCGGGAGAGGAGATCGCTCAGGCTCACAGGATTAGGTCCTGGGAATGAACCGGCTGATTCTTATCCTGGCTTTCCAAGTGCTGCATAAAGGTACCACGTAGCTGTCCCCAAGGGCGAGATGGGGTGTCCCTGCTAAACATGGGGCCCTGAAGCATCCTAAGGGAACTCCTGCCTTATAATCAGGGCCTGAAATAGCTCTTT